GTCTGCAGAGTGCTCAGCTCCAAATGGTAAACCAATATCATACCTTCTCCTCCCAAGTCTCAGGGAACGTTGTGGAGGAGGGGCCTGAAAGATTTTAAGAGCTAGAGGTGGTGGATGATTACAGGGAAACCGTGTTTTTCAAACATCACAGGGCAGTAGCACAAATGAACGTGTGAACTCACAGCACTTGAGACCGCATGCATAAGATCTGTACAAGCCCAAACCAGGCAAAAACCCAGCATGGAGTGTGGAGGTTGGTAAGACTACCCAGACCTCGGTGACAAGTGACTGACAATTAATAGCTGCTGGGAAAGGGAGAGTCAGTTTTCTTCAAGGATGCAATGCTGGGAAGGTAGGTCGGGTTCCAGGAGATGGGTACATACCTGAGAGTATTCAGGGAACATAAATTAGGCTGATAGGCTTTAAAAAATAGACGACATGAAGTGAGGAGAGGTAGAGAGGTGGGGCTGAATCTGAGAAGGGATGCTGGAAGAGGTCTGAATATGATCAAAATACATAATATGAAATTCTCAAAGGATCCATAAAAACACTACTGAAGGGGCTGGAGAGATGGCTCAGCTGTTAAGAACACTAGTTGTTCTTATGGAAGACCCAGGTTTGAATCCCAGCACCCACATGGCAGCTAACAACTGTCCGTAACTCCAGTCCCAGGGGATCCGACAGCCTTTTCTGACCTCCGTGGGCATTGCATGACACAGGTGTACTTACCTACATGCAGGCAATGCACGCATACACATAAAATAAAAATAATAAATTAAAAAACTATTTAAAAAGAAAGCTTGAACATAGAAATTCTATGTCCATGAGTTGGAAGACGGCTACACTTAACAATATACCACCAATGCACACACACACGTGTATGAATTGAAAGGTTAAATATCATAAAAATATTTTCCTAGTGATGATGTATAGATTCATTGGGCTTGAGAAACACTTTGTAGCATTCATTCATTCATTCATTCATTCATTCATTATTTATTTATTTGTGTGTGTGTGTGTGTCTGCACACGTGCCTGTGTGTGTCACAGCCCTTGGGTGGAGGTCAGTGGACAGCATTCGGTGCTGGTTCTCTCCTTTCACCATATGGGGCTCTGGGATCGAACTCAGGTCATCAGGCTTACCAACAGGCACCTTGTCCCATTGAACCATCTAGCTGGTCCCACTTTGTAGGGCTTAAGTAAGTCTAATACATCTGGAAAAAATCCAGATGGCTACCAATAGCCAAGACACTATTAAAGAAGGAGAAGCGGATGGGAAGACTGGTTTTAGCAAGTTAAATCATAGTAATAACGATGCTGTTGTAGTGATGAGGGACAGAGCATAGACTAATGGACCAGAATTAAAATCCACACCCAGGGGAACAGTGAAACATACATATATGGACATTTGATTTGTCTCACATTCAAGTGCTAACCAGGTCCAACACTGCTTAACTTCTAAGATCAGATGAGGTTAGGCATATTCAGGGTGGTATGACTGTAGACTGGACAGCCAATTTGTGTTTTTTTTTCATATTTTAGTTATTATTTTTGTTTTATGTGTATGTGTGTATTGCCTGTGTGTAGATAAGTGCACCCGTGTCATGCAATGCCCATGGAGGACAGAAGAGGCTGTTGGATCCCCTGGACCTGGAGTTACAGACAGTTGTTAGCTGCCATGTGGGTGCTGAGATTCGAATCCGGGTCCTCTGCAAGAACAACCAGTGTTCTCAACCTCTGAGCCATCTCTCCAGCCCAGGACAGTCAATTTGTGATAAAGATCACATCCTCCTACAGAGCAGAGAAAAGGCTTTTCTTCCTTTCTGCCTGATAAATGATATTTATAAAACAGGAGTCTTTGTTTTGTCCTACAGGGACACATTTTATACACGGAAAGAATCCCATGACTTTTTACTCATGCCACATTCAAAAGTCCTTTCCAGGGACAGCATGGGACCAAGTGTGAATAAAGTTTGAAAATATGATTCAGCGATATCTTCATAATAGTAGAGTTTATATAATATAGGTAAGAGTATCTGTCATAAAGTATTGATGATTTTAATTTATTAAACAAGAGAAAAAGACAATGATGCTTATACAAAACATACATAACCCACAAAAGGCTTACAATTTAAATTATATAAAGAACTATAAACCATTGTGAAAGATAAGGCATTAAGCAAAGTAATGGACTTTAATAGATGTATCTCTCCTGCTGACCAATAAATCTACGGGAAAGTGTTGCGTTCATTTTGAACCAGCAAAACAGCAAGTTACAACACAACGGACTATCAGTTCCACTATGTAGCCGTGAATATATACCCTAAAGAAGTATGTGCACGTTTCTACAAGACACATGTCCAAGAAGGTCAAGACTGCTTTATTCATGGCAGTATTATTGGGATAGCCTCAGCCCGGGAACACTTGTGTGTAAATTGTGGTGTATTATATGTGGAGTAGCTATGAACACAAGTGAGCAATTATCTCTTGTAGCTACAATGAATGCAAACATGTAGAGAGAATTCTTCTGTGAAGATCAAAATTTGGTAGAGTGGAATTATATTGAGTGGAAATGCATACACACATGAGAAATGCACAGTAATAAGCAAGAAGCAGTTCTGTCAAACTAGAATGGTAGCCACCACTGGGGCTGGAGGGCAGAGAGGTTATTTGCCCAACGGAAACTCCTGGGAGCTGCTGGAGTATTGATCATGCTCTGTTTCTTGACAAAAGGCAATGATTGCCTCACAATTATCCTTTAACTGTATACTTAGGTCTTGTGGACTTTGCATTATATATGTCTAAAAGTCTATTTTCTATGTGAGAACATCTGAGTGGAAAAAGGTCTCTAAATAAAAGACTGGGGGCCCCACTTTAAAAAAATATTTTTATTTTAACAAAAATTGTGGTATTTCAAGTAAGAGTGCGATATATTTCACAACATCCACAGGTGGTGGTTACATCTGTTTTTGGCTGTTTGATTACATTTCCGTCCGTTACATTTTTTTTTCTTCTCTGGGATATTGGGACATTAAAATTGTGTGTTTACCTTCTCTCTCATCTGCATAAGCCCCACATACCAACCCTCTGGCCAGGCAGTGGCCAGCCATGGCTGGGTCAGAGTCCTTCACTCCTTCTCCCTCTGATGCTCCTCTGGCAAGAGACTAATATATTAGCTCTTGGATTTATAAGAGATCAGGGCTCTACTGATGTAGATTCTCAGGGGCTTATTAGTGTCACTTCTGGAAGGATGTTTCGGGACTTGCTCAGAGGTCTCAACTGTATGATTGTTTTGTCATGCCACAGCCCATCTTCCCACCACAACGGTTTGCAAGGATCCAGACCCTTTCTTACCAAGAACTAGATTGTGTTGTTGTCCTTGTAAGGAAAAGCAAGTGGTAAAGGAAAACAGTCTCCAGAGGGTCCTGAAGTACAGGATTTAGAGTGGCAGATTTGCTGGTGTTCGCTCTGCATAAAACTTCCCACTTTGAGAAGTTAGAGGGAAAGGCAGAGCTCAGAAGACCTGGATGTGACAGAGAACTACTTGAAAAAAATGTTTCAGGACTTCAGGGTTGCTGACCGAAAAGCAAAACAAAACAAAACTTATTTCCAAGGCCAGACAGCTGACCCTGGGTGGACATAAGCAAGAGGTGAGGTTAGAATACTTTTTGAGACCCTCTTGGAAAACCTCTCAGACACTGAAATATCCAGCAATAGGACAATAATACAGGTGAGGAAGGAGCCTATTGTACCCTGATCCTACAAAAGAGATCCTCCAGCATTTGTTGAGGATATCAAAGTGGTCCTAGCCTGGCATCCCTTGGATCCCTCTGGTTCACAAACTGCCATAACCCCACGCTGCCAGCAGAGGGAGTCTGAGTTCCTAAACTGAGCCAGACTGAAAGGGACAGACTTTTGAGTGACTGTAGAGGCGGGGCTAGAACAGGACCAGAGGCAGCCCAGCCTAGGTGGGAGGGGTATCTGGTGAACTGGCAGCCCAAGTCTAACTGGATCAGCAGGCAGAGTTGGGAATTCTTAAAAGGATGAGAGACAGGCTGGCTTAATCCAGGGTGGGCTGGAAGGGGAAGGAGCTGGTGGCCAGAGGCACTCAGATGAAGGTCATGGGAAGGCCAGCAGCCCAGAGGTTGAGTGAGCTCTGTGCTGAAATGGACCTGGGTGAGCCTGGGGGGTGTCAGAGGGATGTCTTGGCTTTTGAAGCACGCAGACAGCTATGCTGATATGAGAAGCCTGCAGAGGAGAGAGAGATAGTGTCCTGAAGGAAGTATCCCTGTCATTAGACATAGTATAAAAATCCTGGCACTTTGGAGACTGAGGCAAAAAAATAATAACTTTGAGGCCAGGTTGAGCTACAGAGAGAGAGAGAGAGAGAGAGAGAGAGAGAGAGAGAGAGAGAGAGAGGAAGGAGAGGGAGGGAGGGAGGGAGAGGGAGAGAGAGAGAGGCGGCTGAGTCCCCATGACATGGCCCATGGCCTTTGAGTCCTTGGAGTCAAATCCCTCACCCCAATGCCCTGCTTTATTCTTTGACAGATTTGCGTTGGGGGTGGGGGGGCTTGATGAAGGTGGTTTAGAGATGGTAAGACTTTTTTAAGGCCCAGGAAGATTCATTTTCGGAGGGCTAAGTGTAAAGCACTAGTGATTGGGTGTGTAAGGACACCCCATAATGTGGCAGACTCCAGACTGTGTTGTTGGGAAGACCATCACGGACAGCTGAGCGTTAAAAAGAAATATGTGGTTAAGAAATATATGAAAATTGTCTAGCTTAGAGCTCAGGGAAGGGCTAAGAGAGAAAGGAAGTGAACCCCAGCATTGATAGCAAGGGGGTGCCTGAATCAGGGGGAGTCATTCTGAGAGTGGCTCAAAGAATAAATGACTGTTCATTCTGGAGTCAGTTTATTGTGATTCTGTAATCCCTCCTGCCCATCCCATGGGATTCTTGCTTCTGCCCCGGAAAACACAGACAGAGCTGTATTCATCTTTGCGTCAGGAGGCCTTCATGTTTCTCTTTAACCAGGGCAGGAAGTGAGAGACCTTAGTGAAGACTCCTGGAGGGGATCCACTTATTTTTCCATAGGAAAAAATTCCATAAACTCTGTTGCTACACACCAGGGGTCCTCCAGAGTCACCCTGTGGACAGAGCAGGGAGGACCTGAGCTGGCGCCCTTGTGGTCCTGTTCCCCTACCTCCTCCAGTACCTTGCCACCTCCCTCAGTACCAGAGCTCAGCCAGGCCCTGACTTTTCTCTCTAGTTCAGCTGAGGCCGAGCCCTTCTCTGCAATCCCCAGGGATACTCTGGTGATAATGCTGCTTTGGGATGACTGGTCCGTCCCCCTTCCTCTCTTAGAATGTCCACTCTATGGATAACGGCTGGATTCTTGGGGCTGATTCTGCTCTGAGCTGAGGGTTGAGGATTTGGTCATTCCTACACCCAGGCCTCTCCTAGGTTCCTCTCTCTCTCTCTCTCTCTCTCTCTCTCTCTCTCTCTCTCTCTCTCTCTCTCTCATTTGTTCTGTTAAATGCTTAAAACCCTACCTTGGAGCCAGCCTTTGTTCCGTTTGGATCTCCCACACAAATCTCTATAGTCTTGTTATAGTTGTGGAAGCTCAATTTGCATTCTAGGTCTTTCTGCACTGTCAGCTCTACTTCCTGTAGAGTAGTTGCTAAAGCGCCCTCTGGGGCTGTCATCCCCCAGCCAGCCTCATGGCACATTTCTCCTGGCTTCACCCAGGCCTTGCCTGTGGGCAGCTTGAGAGGATGTACAGCTTTAGTCCTTCTGGCTTTTCTCTTCAGCTGATGGAGAAGAACAAGAGTTCAGCCCAGCCACTGGCCTTCTGGGCTGGGACACCATGAAGGGCAGGATGGAAGGGAAGAATCAGTGTCAGGGTAGGAGGGGCAAGCCTGCACCAAGCAGACAAGGGTGGCCCCACCTTTAGCAGCATGATGTCATTGGAGAAGTCCTGGGGGTTATAGTCTGGATGGGGAATGGCTTTTGCCACAGGGATGACCTGCTGGGTCTTCTCCCCTTCCGTGATATTGTGGGCCCCCAGGGTGACATTCATTAACCTGCACAGAGAGCACAGTGGGGAGGAGGGATGCAGAGTCAGAGAGGATACAGCCCAGGAGGTGAGAAGGGCTGGTCCGGGTGGGCAGGGTGGGGCTCAGGGAAACTGAAAGGAGAGGAGAGCCCAAGGTTCACTGCCTCCTCCTTCTCCAAGACACTAAAAGACTTGGGGGGTGGGGGCTCCCTCTTGGTTTAAGGCAACATTGTAAAGTTTGCTCTGACTGTTAATGGGTGATTTCAATCTTAATCACTGCTTTAATTTGTCAGGGCAGTGGCTTTCTACTCCAGGATGCCTCTGGCTCTGACCTCTCATCCTCTGACGTCAACGCTTATCTGATTTTCAGTTTCCCAGTCCTACTTTCTCACAAGCTCTCTGGAGCATCTACAGGTTGAGGACAGAGGTGCCTGTTGGGATCTCAGGAAGTGGCTTGGCAGCCGTTCCTCACCTTCCACAGCAGTGAGCAGCTGTCAGCACAAAGTTGTCTTGAACCAAGAGGCCACCACATCTCTTCTTTCTCTCCTCCACCAGAAACCGAACGAATGCCATGTAGGGGCGGGAGTGGGGTTTGACCTCGTGGCCCCCGATGATCTCCTCTGAAAGAAAAGGCTGGAATATGGGGTGTCTGGGGGCAGCAGAAGTCAGGAGGGAAGATGTGGGGGTGGGGACTAAGGGCAGGATCTGAGGTGTCCTCAGGTTAGTTGAGCATTCCTTACATTTGAAAACCTTTGCTGGACAGGAAGATGAAGGGGTGGACAGCGCTTGTCCTCCAGCATCTGCTCTACACATCCATGGAGGAGATAATAAGCTCTATCTGCTTGATGGCCGTGTCCCCGAGGCTCCTGGTCATCATGCCTTGTGCATTTGTTAGTGAGGCTCCCCAGTCTCTCTAAAGTCTTGATTGGTGACATTTTCTTACAAATTGCTGAATCTTCTAAAATTCTCCTCAACACATCCTGAGTTCTCAGGAAATGTTCTTGGATGCATGAATGTATGACCTCCAGTTAGCTGGAGGGTTGGTGGTGGTGGGATTCAGACCCTGAGGAATACTGGAGCCGTGTACTGTCAGACATGGAGCAGCTGAGGCTCTGGGAAGGCAGAAAGAAGCAGAGAAAACTGGACTACAAAGGTGTGCTGTGGAGCATGTACAATGTTGCATACAGTCATCTGGTCACCCTGGGCCCCTTCTTTGGCAGGACTGAGGGGAGGAGGGTACTGAATAGTGATAGGTAAAAAGTAGCCACAGACAAATAGGGTTGATCAGGAGAAAGCACCAGGATACAGATAAAACTCCATCAGAATAGAGTTTATTAGCAAAGGAACACATGGGACAGATTCCCTTCCAGGCAGGGAAAATGCCTGCCCCAGGTCATGAGCTGGGGTCTTTTAAAGGGGGAGGCTTCTGCTTCCTGCAGAAGGCAGGAAGATGTATCTTTTTTAAAGTTGGGTGGAGGGGGGCAGTGGGAGAGCAGGACTGTTAAAACCTGTTCTCTTTAGAGATCAAAGGGGAAGCCTGCTGTATTGGCCAAACAGTGGAGAAAAGTCTGCTTCTCATGACTTCAAAGATCAGGGCGCTTATCAGCTCCCTTCCCTTTTCTCAGAAGCGTGAGAAGTCCTTGGGACCCTGTTGGTGGTGGTGGTGGGGGGGGCGGGGCCATCTGAACCTTAACAAATAGTGCAGCCATTTTGGAGCTGCTGGCCCTCCCCTACTGCAGGCTGGTGGTCAGAGCTGCCATTCCCAGGGTTGGAAAAGGGATTTACAATTACTTGTCTTTTGAAGCTCCACAGTATCTACCACATATCTTTCTAAGGACAGTCTACTCTCCAGGTGATGAAGTGAGCTGGGAGAAACAATACCCCTAAGCTTTCTGGAGAACACCCTCCCTTCTGCAGTCCTTGTTGAGATTCTAGCCAGCATCAGACTTATAAGTCTGGGTTTGGCTTGGGACCAGAGATTCTTAGAAAGTTCCTGGATTCAGTGCCAGGAAAATTCTCAGCTAACGCTGGGCAGAAAAGTCAGTAGAGGAGATTTTATAAGGTGGGGGCCTCTGGAATAGGGGTGTTCACTCACCTGATCTAGCTCCAAGGGGCAGAAGAAAGGTCAGCAGGACCAGGAGTGGTGGCATCTTCCCAGGAAGGCTGTTCAGGGTAGAGTAGGTCAGAACAGACACCGCCTTTGGAGGGGGCTGAAGGGGGCATGGGCCTAGTGACCTCACAGGCATCCTAAACCTATGCACCTCCTGGTTCTGATGGGAGTCATCACACAAGGCAACCTGTAGAAGTTCTCTGGTTTGGGTGAAAATGACACTGTCACCACATTGACAAAGCCAGGATAAAGAAGGTGGAGGGTGTTGCGACTGTGGTTGCCTGTGGTGGAAGAATGAGGGCTCCAGGAAGTCCACGGTGACTGAACTGAGCCAAAATGTGTTCTTTTCTCAGCTCTTACATCTTTTGCATTCTGATAAAGTCTTTTTACTAGATAGTTTTGAGGGACTAATACTGACAACCAGCTTATTATAAAAGCAGTGATAGTACTACTAATATACTCACAAAATTATAGCAATGTTCAGTGAAAGTTGATGTTGTACTATGTTGTAGTAAGCAGTGTTTTCATGTACCGTCTCATTAATCTTTTGGATTACTAATCACATTGTGTAAAATTCTCTTTGAAGTACTCTGGGGTATTCTGATGAAAATTAATCTTAACTCACTCTGACTCTTATGAAACGGGTAGGGAATCATAGCAAGTGTTAGCCCGTGTATCCAACGACTAAATTTTACTGTTGCACATAGTAAAGTATAATAATGAATCACAGTGGCACGTTGATTTTACCTGATTGCTGTGGATTGTCATTTTCTGCAGAGTGAGAGCTTCAGGTCTGAATTCAGTGGTTTAGCAGGATCGCAGCCAGTAGCTTCTCTGTTGATGACTCAGTGGTACTTTCCTACCACTTTGCCAAGATCTTGATAAGATCTTGAATAATTATTTAGCAGGCTTGATCCAGTAAGAGACACAAAGCCTCTCTTAAAAGGCTGGTGTTGACAGGAGGGAGCTGAAAATCTGTGCTTAGAGCACAAGATGGGCTTAGAGCCCAGGGCTGTGGTGAAACCAGCTCTGTGAGGTAAAACGTGTGTGTGTGTGGGGGGGAGGGGTGGCTAGGTGTGCCCTCAGAATAGGTGGGGGATGGTACCAAATACCCACAGTGCAACCCAAGTTCCCGACTTACCATCAAAGTTTCATGTTCTCTACCTTAAATATTTTGGGCCAAAGAAAAATTTTCTTATCTTAGTTGTGAACAAAAGTCCTGGATTTGATATTAATTGAATCAAAATTAATCATCTAGTTCAAGGGTGTGTAACCTTTTGACTTTTCTGGGCCACACTAGATGAAAGATGACTGTCTTAAGCTTCAAATTCCTTATACAAACACTAAAGAAAGCTGACGAAACAAACAAACAAACCAAAAAACTGCGAATAATTTTCCTGATCTCTAAAAACACAAAACTCCTCACAAAATATAATAATCCTACTTATATAGTGCCTGTTCAGAAAGAAGCTTTTAAAATCACCAAGCAATCTTCAAATTTGTAATCACTAATAAACAAAATGAACACATCTAAGTAATAAACTATTTTTTAAAATATTTATTTATAGCAGAAGTCAAAGAAGAGGGCAACACAAATCTATTGGGGTATTTGACACTGTATTTGAGGAACTAATGCATAGGATCTGGATGGAATAAGTGACTGCAGTTCTCAGTATGTTCTCAAATGTGCTCAATTCTTGTTGTTTTTTTTTAAAAAAAGATTTTTAAAACTTGGTTTATGTGTCTGTGTATGTGAATGCAGGTGCTCTGTTGAAGAGGCCAGAAGTGTCAGATCCCTCTGGAGCTGGAGTTACAGGTAGTTGTGAACTGCCAATGCGAATTCTGGGAGTCAAACCATGTCCTCTGCAACAGCAGTATGTACTATTAATTGCTGAGCTATTTCTCCAGCTCTGAGTGCTCAGTTCTTGAAGGTAGCTGCTCACAAATGTGGGTGCTGCCAAAAAGTGACAGCATGAATAAGCTGTGAAGGTGAAATGCAAATGTTTGTGTTTGGGAGGGCAGGACCTAGAAAAGCCTGGTTAAGGTACATGATCAAATTCTTACTTCAGTTGAATACAGGATTGCAGTGGGAAATATAGGATTCCAGATCACACTGGGAAATTTGCAGGTCACATGTTTATACCAACTGAGAATGGAGCTGCAAATATGTCAAAGTATTGATAGCATCCAGAAAACCATTTTATGGGATGGAGGAGGCAGGGTCTTATTATGTAGCTGGTTAGGCTGGCCTTGAACTCACAATGATCCACCTGCTTCTGCCTCTCCGAGTTCTGGGATTAAAGGCATATACTACCTTACCCGGCCACATTCAGGATATCTTGAAATCTGTTTTCAAATTTTTGAATCAACTCTAAAAGCAAGGCTATGTACTTTCTTGGTGTTCACAGGACTGTGTTCAGCTATGTTGAGCACATAAATTTTTTTGCCTTAATTTGAGCTTCCTATAATTCAAATTTCATTTAGAACACTGTTAAGTTTGAGTATTTCAACATTTCAGCTGCTGTTCACAAGGAAGCACAGAGCTGACTGTAAAGCAAGGTGGGTTGATGCCTGAGGCACGGCTGAGCTGTGGAACTACCTGTGATAAATCAAGTAGGAATACTTTCCTGTCTTCTAAATGTCACTAAATGTTTGTAATTGTTTATTAAAACATCATTGATAATCTCTGAGTTTCATTTACCAAGTCATCCAAAGCATGTGTGAGATCTGGTACTGCCAATTTGACTGTCTGCCCTTGGAAAAAAAGACACCAGAAGACGCACACTACCACAAAACGGAAGTCATGCGTATGCACAGAGACAGAGCAAAACACACTCATCCTGTATGACACTGGGACACAGTGTTGTCACCTACAAAGTCCACAATCAAGAACTGCACTATGCAGTAACAACAACAAACCCCCCCCCTGGATCACTAAGGCCTGGAGCCGAGCTGAGTCACTGAATAAAGGAGCTGTACCACTGACTGAGCCGAGTTCTGTGTCTTACTGCCTACGATCCACCCTTCCCGGAGAGGGTCACGACTCACAGAAATCCAGCTTTCGCCGTCTCCGCACCTTCCCACGCGATCCAATTTGTATACATCTAATAGATACATCATGATTTCATTATTTAGAGGTTTCTATTATTAGAACGTCTTGAACTGACCTGGGGACTGTCCACTAAGACAGTGAATATGACGGATCTCGTATCTCGAGGAAGTGCACGGTGGATTGGGACGGAACCGACTGGGCCAGGCCCGGTAGCAGAGAGCCTCAACAACGTGGAGAAGCAGGGACCCGCCTGGGAGCTCAGCGATCAGTAGAGTTAAAAAGAAAAAAAGAAAAAATCTTCACATTAGAAGATTATTGTCTAAAATCAATTCCAAGCATCATACACGCCTTCTGTGCTAATTAAGGGGAAAATCTGTCCTTTTGCATGTAAAAGACCGAAAGCCCAGTTGACCAGCAAGACGCGGAGACCCACAGCAACGCGGTGCGGGACACGCGCGCACCCCAGCAGACGAAGCCTGTGAACCCGCCGCACTCCAGCGACGTGTGGGAGACCGGCGCCACGCTAGCAGCTGGCGCCCCGAGATCCCCGCACGCCCATAGCTGAGCTGTGGAACTACCCTTGATAAATCAAGTAGGAATACTTTCCTGTCTTCTAAATGTCACTAAATGTTTGTAATTGTTTATTAAAACATCATCGATAATCTCTGAGTTTCATTTACCAAGTCACCCAAAGCATGTGTGAGATCTGGTACTGCTAATTTGACTGTCTGCCTTTGGAAAAAAAGACACCAGTAGACACACATTACCACAAAACGGAAATCATGCGTATGCACAGAGACAGAGCAAAACACACTCATCCTGCATGACACTGGGACACAGTGTTGTCACCTACAAAGTCCACGATCAAGAACTGCACTATGCAGTAACAACAACAAAAGACCACACACACACACACACACACACACACACACACACACGTCTCATAATCTTTTAAGCTCAGAGTTCTATATTGGGCTGCATTCAGGTAGCTACCCTG